CATTTTTTCGGCAGATAAAAATATTTACCTGTTTGAAGGATAAACAAAAGCACATTTTGGATTTGCTGGTTGCAATGAGGATTCTTTTTGCTTATAATACTTTTTAGGGAATTTGGGAACCTCTTGCTTTCCGAACAAATGTCACATTCCTTATTGGTTGTCCTCTGGCACTTCTTCTGGCTCAACGAAAATTTTATGGCTACGGTATGTGAATAAAATCTGTTCATTAATAGAATGATGCTCGTAATTTTCATCTACGGACTGGGCGGAAAAACTATCAGCTCCTGTTTTAAATATCGTTATTTCATGGTCTGCAAAGAAGAGAACCGCTGTTTTTTGAATATTTCGCTGTGAAGAGTACGATTTAGATTTCGTATCTTTTGCAAAGCATAAAATTTTTCTCGGTTTGCCTTCCCAGCTTCTCCCCATTCAGAATTACGTTACACTAACATCAAGAATATTCGAAATTCATAGTACGAAAATAACAAAAATTGCACGATCCCAACCTTACTGTGTACGTCTGCGTAAATAAAGCCAAAAAAAATCCAGTTTTAAGTTTAAATTATAGAAAATCTACGGACTGCTTAGTTTTTGATCTCAAAAATTTTATAAATTTTTCAGAAGCAGAGCCACTGGAATGCAGTCAGCTGTACAATTTGTACTACTCGTTAGATCCGTGTGGTGCTCGTTTGGAGCCAGTACTGAATCCTCAGCTCGCGATGCTTCTACCAGTAAATGTACCCCGTTATCGCAACAGTTCTTCAGTTAATGCACAAACTGACAGGTTTATGATAATCCAGAAAAATTCTTTAGTTTTTTCTTTTCGAATCTTCTTTTCATTTTATGTTGCAAAAAATCTGCGAAAAGTAAACATCGCGAAAAACCTGAGAAAAGCCAGCAAAAATAAAGCCGCTACAAGAAAGTGTATACTGTCTATGGAAAGACAAACAATAAAGAAAGGTGTATGCTGCCTTAAATGTTAGATGCGCAGTTGAAGTGCTCCTACTGGTTGAGCGACACAAAGATCGGTAGTGTAGTGGGTAGCATTTCGCGTCCGAATGTGAAGACGAATGGTTCGGTTCCCTGCCGAGGCTTACACACAGCTGCAAAAAAAGAAAACTCCGTGACATGGTACCACGAACAAGGGATTGAGGCGGCGATCATTTGATGTTGTGGATGGAATCCTCTTTGAAGGGCTTGCACTCCCATTTGTTCATGTACTGCAGACATTGCTTGACGGCCTGACGAAATTTGAACCTCAATTTTTCTTAATCTATCTCTGATTTTTCTGTTACCTGTAGTTTTATTTTCAGCTCGCTTGATTCTTCATTACTTTGGGGCAATCGTCGGATTGATCATACACTTTACTGTC